TATGACTTGCAGTTAAAGTTGAAATTCAATCGAAGGAGGCTTTGAGCGGAGCAACTCTAATTCGCTTGCTGGCTGGCAATAGTTCTCAGTCTGTTCGAATCACATTCTAAAGCAAATCGACGCACATCAATAATAAGTTTTGTTTATTTAGTAATTGATTCAGAAAGAAAGCTATCTGTACGAGAGAACTAGAGATAGAGCGATAGAACGATGGCCAGCATCACATTCAAGGGTCATCCCACCGTCGTATTGCGCACCTATCAGGTGGTCCGCATCGGCAACAACGAACTGGACAAGACCTTGGACTTTTGCCTGAACGACAAGGTAACAATTTGATTGAGCGAATTTGCCTAAGCCCATCTACTTCTACTTACTGTGACTCTCGGCTCCGCAGAGTGTGGCTAAGCTGCACGCGACTCTGACACGAAGCGAGCGGGGCTTGTTCCTGGTCAACGAGAGCTCCTACGGGATAGTCAGCATGAATGGGCAGCGCTTTAGCGGCCCCATTTTGATCACCTTCCGTGACGCTATCAATGGCATTGTCTATTTGCGCTTTGGCCGCGTCGAGGCCTTCCTACGCGTCTCCGGCAGCCTGGGAACCTAAGTACTGGGATCGTCCCCAAGCTTCAATTTGAACGAGCACTTGCAGGCTCATTGTTGTACAAGTTTAAATTTATGTTTTACTGCGTCGTAAATGTATGTCTCACGAATTATATACACACATATCATCGATCGCCTCGTTGCCTTTTAATATTGTTTAAAGCACAAGGAGAGAGAGAGAGAGGGATATAGAGTATGAAAAATCCTTAGAAGAAGTCTAGGGTATGGTATCCGAAAAAATTGTTGGGGCTAGGCTCCAAAACTATGGCAAATACATAAATATAGGGTATTATTGATTACATCATCCCAATCTCAGTCCCCAAATGGATGCAGATAAATTTTCCTATTTGATATGTTGGGATGCCAACACAGGTATATTCATATATATTTCTAGCACATTAAAGAAGAGCATTTTTAAGATCGAGGAGATAGAGGTCGTGTCTTATCAAGACGCGGCTATAAAACGAACAATAGGAGGTAAGCTGGGACAACAAGATGGACATAGCACAAACCCAATATACTCATTTTCAACGCGAATAAGTGTAAACAGCAATAAATAGTATAAAATATGGTGAGAAATGCAATATTCATAAGATTCGATCTCGTTGAATCGATTTAGTTTAAAAATATGAAGACTTGATAGTTTCCGTGCCTTGATCTGACTAACTTAAACATATACATATGTATATGTGTATATGTATTTATGTATATGGGGGCCAGTCGACTATACATAAAGTTGCCCAATTATAGTCCGCATGCCGCACGTAAGAGACAGGCAGAGAGACAGAAATGACTCAATCAATCAACATATGGCTCAGAGTTATTATCTCGATGTCATCTATTACATTTTGAATTTGAATGAAATTCCACTCCGGTACGGGTAGTTGTACAAAGCTATAGCCTATAGATGACCAAGATAAGACCCATCCATATAACAAACCAGATAATTTTCATTTGCAACGCGAGAGCTGACAGCGGCACAGAGATCATTTACCAATGGGCCATCGAGTGCCAGGTCGAGTGGGTATTATTTTGGGCTTCAATTTGCTTGATCCAATCAGCATTGAGTAGTGCTCGAGCTGGGGCCGACGAATGTGTTGGCAAATGTGTTACTACTCTATATGAAATTCCTCTCCATGACTATCCCATAAATGCCGCAATAGACGACAGCAAGTCGGGTTTATGTGTCGACGTGATGTCGAACACATTTGACGATGCAGTCAAACACACAACAGTGGGGGAGGGGGAGGGGGAGGGCGAGGCAGAGGAGGGGTTGGTCTAAACAGCAATGCCGGCAAAAGCAGCTGTCTTCAGATACGGCACCAAATTGAATAATGTCTGCTTAATTTCGGTCAATTATGCCGCCCGAAACGAACTCAAAACGAACCGAAGCCCAGCCGAACTCCAAGCAGCGCCGCTAGCAGAGCCCCAGGCAGAGCCGAGCCGACTCGATGCGGGGCGGGTGCCGCCCCAACGAATATCGGAGACATGTAATTTCATTTGCAATTCAGTCGAGCGGCGGCGGCGGGGGACACACGGGCATCTGGGAAACGCTTGGCAGGCAGCATTGTCAAAAAACAAAAATAAAAACAAATTTTTATATAGTTTTTGGTTTTTGTTTGTTGTTTTTTGAGCAGTTCGATGGAAATGCTTACGTCATGAGCCAAAGTGGAAGGTGTCTGGCGCGGCACTTGATTGGGCTCACGTAGGCCGCGCAGAGCGCAGAGCAGCGCGCCGCGATTGGCAACTGCCCTTAGCCAGAGCAAGAGTCTTTGCTGTCTTAACTGGCCATTAATTGGACGCGGTTGCCGCAACACCGGGCCAGAGCAGACCACGAGACAAGAGCAGAGCAGAGCAGAGCAGTGCAGCTCTGATGCGAGCAGCTTGGAGAGGTTCATTCGCTTCCTGAAGCCTCAAGCGAAAGTCGCTTTTCACGATAATTTGCTCTTTTTTTTTTTTTGCCAGATACCCTGTAGGTCAAATGGGCTTTATTGAACGCCGAGCATGCAGGGCTTTGGTGTCAAGCAATTTCCACTTATCCACAAATTGAAGCTAAGCCTTTATATAGGTCGCACTATGTGCCTCAAATATTAAGAATTCGAAACGCAGAATGATTTAGCTGTTGACAGGAACTACATGACCATCCATCTGGCCCAAGCTACTGTGCAGGCTGATATTAGTTAGTAAAATATATTAATTTGTATATAGAATACAATTACAATTAATACAATTATTAAGATATATTTTCAATATTTCATTATTCATTTATTTAAAATATGAAACCTAAACTTAGATATCGAATATGTTTATTTATATATATACATATACATATGTATGCCAATTAATCCCATTTTCAATGCAAGCCAAGCTGCACTAAGGAGAAAGAGAGAGAAGGACTCTGAGTAAGATCTGACCACAAACGCTAGACTGAAAAACAGAGAGAGGGAAATTGCTAGAAGATTTTGAATGAGAGGGAAAGAGGCAAAAGAGAGAGAGAGATAGATAGAGATATAGAGAGTGGACAAGAAAAGGAAAGAGATGGAGAGAGTGAGAGAGAGAGAGAGAGTGAGAGAGAGAGAGAGAGAGAGCAAGAATAAGAAAGAGTGAGGCAGAGAAGGAAAAGGACTCTGTACTTTAAGAATATTCTATTATTGCCCACAATTCGTTGTTTAATAATAATAAGAAATATTAAAAAATCTGCGCACACTAAAAAAAAAGGAAAATTTCTCCCAGAAATCGAGAGGTATCTAAGAGTTGGGCAAGTCTCTGAATGCCGACCACTTAAGCACATTTTGAGGGCGGCCACATTTCATTTTTGCAGCATTAGCGAAATGAATTTTTGGCGCATGGAACTGGCAGCCGGAGCCACCTACCTGTAGTCGTAAAACGTGGCTAATTGCACATTAACACCCAGCAGCCGCAGTGGCAAAAGCAACAACAACACCAACAGCAACAACAGCAGCAGCATTTCAACATGATTTAGTAAATCTTCAGCTGGTCAAGTTACAGTTTCAGTTGAAATCTCTTTTTATTTTCCATTCCCAGTCTCCCTCACTCTCTCTTCCGCTCTCTGTCTCTCTTTCTAGATTACATAAATTATAGTCGCAACATGTGACAAAAATCAGCAAATGGCGCAAAAACGTTTCCAGTCAGTCTGCCCGCCTATCTGTCTATCTGTCCGTCTGTCCGTCCGTCTGTCTGCCTTGCTGCCTGTGGGCTGCCTGCCAAAGACTGTCAAAAAACGAAAGAAAAACAACAAAAAATAGACCAAAATGCGCCAAATCTTTACTCAGCCAGCAAATAAATAACTTTATTTTCCATTTGTTTTTGTTTTTTTCTTCTCTTAAACGATTTTACTTTATTTATGCATCTGCTGCCTGTGGAGGGGAATGCGCATGTTATTCGTGGAATGCGGTCATGCAATCAACAACAACAACAACAACAACAGCAGTAGCAGCAGCAGCAACAGCAGCAGCAAGTGTGTTAACCACAATTTTGGGGGCAAGTGTAATTAACCAAGTTTTGAACCCTGCTTTTGCCCAGCTACAAAATTCTCTTCAACTTTTCCCCAATTGGCCAAGATTCGCAAGCCGAAGAACATTCCTATCGTCAGCTCTATTGCTAGCAGACGTAAACATGAAGTACATACATATATAATGAGTGTAGCTTTGGGTAATTTCAATTAGAAATATTTATTATTATATTTATATTTTATATTGTTATTTAAAATATGTTTATTTTAAGCATTTATTATTATCAACAGTTGAACAGAAATCAATTAAATTCTATACTAGTTTTCTATAAATAGACATATCATATAATGATATATAGATTTTAGCTATATATATATATATATATTATATATCACACATATATGCTTAGAAGCATTTAAGAATCAGAACAGTTCTATTACATCTTTATTCTTAGTTTTAACTACTCGTCATACATGTAATATATATAATACTTGTAGCAAAACTCTATATCTCATTTTACAAATTGTATTCATATCCTTTATCTGCATTTATTGACATATTTGGCAATATTTTAACTATCTCTGTATATTTGAAAACCATCACATCCTATACGTATACACCTGCTGGCCATCTACAGTGATCTATGCTGAACTGATCTATATGAATTGCAATAGCTTTTTTTTGGATTACTCGGATAAAGTTCATAGAAGCAGATGGTATATACGCAAACTTAACTGATCGCCGCTCGATCAATCGACTTTTATGACAACATTACGTTCTTCCCTTGCATTTCCCGAAAGCAACTTTTTTCTATTATCATAGTTTGCCTTCTATAGTCGATATACTCAATTGCGTTGACTTTGGATATGATTTTATACTCAATTGCTTTGAATTTGGTTATGATCATGTTGTTCAATGTTCATGATTGAACATTGCCATATATTATTGTTATACTACTGATTCTTAACTCTCATTTCACTTTTATCAAAATAATTCTAGCCAAACCTAAAAAGCTATTCACAAACTCAACTTGACTTTCCATTTTCGATGTTCACTTGAACTGAACTTTAATAAGTCTGGCTTAACTTGGTAAAAAAAATCTTGAATATAACTTCTTCTTCTTAACACTTTTTCAAAAACTTTTTATCTTCGTTTCTTGGCCACATTTTTTCATTCTCTATTACAGCTTATCTCTCATTTAGCCAATTGTTGGCTTGGCTGTTTCAAGCAGTTTGTCTTCTGCATTCCCTTCTCTTTCGATTCATCTTTGGCTGCATTATAGTCTCAATTATTATAATTATTATTCATTGTAATTCTTGTCCATTATACTTGATGCAATCTTTCCATAGTGAACAAGTTCAACTGCTTGGCCTTAGCTCAAAGTCTATTCACCTTTCTCTATCTCTCGCGCAGGATCAGTTCCTTTAGTTGGAGCTCTGCTTGAGCTAAATAAATGACAACATTTTAATTTATATTTTTTTTTTACTACCAGATCCATAATCTAAACTGTATCTGTATTTTATGCGGAATATAATAATTATATTTAATTATCATCATAGTTAATGGATAGATTCTTTAGTCTTCGAGCCTCTCATCAGCTGAAGTTTATTCTTAATGCTATCATTATTTGTCTCTCACAAGTCTCTCACTGTCTCGCA